TTCACGGATGATGACGTAATCACTGATGCACCGTCGTTGACCATGAGTCTCAAGACTGGATCGGGTCACATTCCAGCAATCAGTCCCTTGTTCCCAGAAGCCAACTGTCACTTCACCACAGTCGCAAGAGCCTCCACCAACGTCCGGACCACTCGTTCGCGCCCCTTGACGTCCATATCTGCCCCAACGGCTGCCGTCGAAGACTCAACAGTAGCTTGGGAGGCTTCGGCTGATGTGTGACTTGACCTCGTTTCTTTGGGTCCTTGTCGCACGTCGTCACATCTCACGCCCTTTCGCGCGGTCGTAGGCCGAAATGACTCGTCGTTTCGTCACTCAGCCGACTTTGGGCCAATCACCACGAGTCTAGCAACCCTTATTATGTGTACGCCTCTGTTTCAAAAACGTTTGGGCATAATCATTCTGATTGGCTACCCTGAAATTATACTATTGGCCGAAAATACTTAAGAAAATCAAATTGATGCGGTTCTCTAAACTAATTTCAAAACTAGCCTGGATAGAGCGGATTATATTTGTTTTTCAACAGATCATGCGATTAGGGTTTAGAGCATATTATTGGTTTTGGAATTGAGCAAAATTGACCCCAAACCAGTCCGACAACGTGGGTCTATACAATCATGTACCACTTCGAGGTTGATCAACAAGCCGATTTGTCCTCAACGTAGGATACATTTTACGGCAAATAGAAGCGAATGAGAGCTTCACATTCGTCTTTATTTGAGCGCCTAATTCTAAGCGGTTGGGTCGCTGCGGTTTTTCAAAAATAAATGTCCACAGAAATTAGAATTTTGATGCCTTTTACATTACCTAGAGGCTTTTCTAGTTGCTATTCTAGTCGCTTAAATGGTTTTCGTCCTCCATGTTGACTGCAGGCTCCCATGGCTGCTGAGAGTTTGAGAACAACCCTTCAGCAATCAAACTGTAGTTAGGCAATTGAAGTACTGTTTGAAGCTCTTCGATGTTGAAGGTCAGCTGCATGTCCTTCGATCCATTTAAGCTTACCATTAGCGTACGATAAACGCCCTCTTCTCGATTATTCTTCTGGCGTGCAGCACTCATAGCATACAAGTGCTGCATTTGACGAAACGTGGCACTCTCCGGTAGCGTCACCCCTGCGTCGTCGGGCTGGCGAGCTTGGCTAATCGCCCAGTGTGTTCGAGCTATATCACCTACGCGCACGCCGATGCCCTGGCGCGCCTCTTTCGAAGCGTACATGAACAGGTGCACGACAAATGGTCCATCAAACGTCTTCTATTTTGTGGTAGTTGGCCCAGGCTTGGGCAAGCTTCCCGAACCACGTTTCGCTAGTCAACGCCACGAATTGCGCTTGCTTTGCGTGCTGGCTCGGTCTTAGATATAGTTTCATGTCGGGCCTAGTCGTTTTCGTAGTGTACTTTGCCAAAGCTGAGCTTACATTTTCTTCGGCTAAAGAATACACTCTCTCGAAGCTGTCACATTCTTCATCAAACTTTAACTGCTACACAAGCGCGTGTCTTCTCCATTGCGTGTTTATATATGCTTAGGTGCTTGGATTGCCCAGTTCTTCATGGGAATTCGGAGAAATCTATGTTTATATAAAGAGGTGGGATTAATTAAAACGGACACTAATTTAGATAACTGGTCACTAAAAAATAACCTGCAGTCCGTTTATATATAATCGGTCCTATTAAAAAGGAGGCAAAATGCCTCCTTTTGATACCGACTATCCTAGATTTTAATACTATAGTTCACTAAAGTGGCTCGCGAAAGGGTTAAGCACTCTAAATCAGTCGATTAGCATATAAATTGGACATCTTGGTTGGTTTCCACAATAACCTCTAACCGTTATTGAGAACCCCAGAAAATGTGCTGAGGGGAACAAATATTAAAATACATGTAGTACGTAGAATCATGCATACTATTAGTATGCTGCGTTACCGTTATGTAGATGAAAGCTTTGCTTTGGCCGATCTGGCTCGTTGTGAGTGACAAAATCTCCATGTACTTCGAGATACAGTCAACAGATTACGCGACGCAAAAAAAATATATTCACCCATGGCATGGTTAAACTAAGACTTCGAAGTCAATTGAAGTTGACAACTGGGATACAGTAGTTAACCCCCAGGATTTTCTTCGGAGGAACTACATTGGACACTGCCGGTGAGAAGCTTGATTTCGTCGATAGCTGCACAACTATCATTGTGGCCAAAGGGACCGTCATTCGGTCATGTAGAGAGCAAGAATCGGCCAAGTGGGGAATATCAAGTTGCAAACCCAACTAGAAGCATCAAAAGGATGGCCATGACTGCCATTGAGAGCAGTGCTTGACTATCGGCTGGTTTACTCGATGCCGTGTGATTTCGCCATGCCCGGCGTTGTGGCTCGTGCGGCATAAAAACCTATCAGCTGACAAGCATGTCTGGAATCTAGATTCTGGACAGGATTGCCCCGGCACGGTGTTGAGACATTAGGTATCAGATTCGACAGGCAGTTATTACACTAAACATATCGACTTGCTATTTTTGACACCTTTTATAATACTCATTTACACAGGTATCAATAATTGCGGGTACGCACATAAACAAGACTCAATGTATTTACGTGTGACTTTTCGAGTTGTTTTTTTTCGCCTGAGCTCACTTCCCAATCATCCAGCTACACCGCACTCTGTGTACTCGTCAAGCACTTCTTGACCATGAAATTCTTCCGCTGCCTCGCAATTGCCGTGCTCGCGCTCGTCGCCACCAGCTCCGCCGAAGAAACCAGCGTCCGCGCCCGCCACATGCTCGCAATGGGAGACGAATCTATCCTACTCACACGCGGATCCCTACGCAGGGGGGAGCAGTCCGACTAGAGCCCCAGAGCCTACAGCAACCCAAGCAAGACTACATCACCAGGCAGCAACGTATAAGCCACCAATCCAAGCTGTAAATTATTAATCTATTGCTCGCTTATCCCACACAATCTAATGCAACGAATTCGTTACGTCTTCTGCTCGGTGAAAAAAGCTCTAATTCCAGGCTGTTATCTCAAACGGACCAGCGTGAGTCCGTCCCAAAGCGGCATAACCACCTGCGATGTTCGTGGGTCTTGAGTCACGTAACTGTTGAATTCCGCGAGGCTACGTGCGATCCGCTCCTTATTGCTTGACAACCCGCCTGCGAAGGCAGCAACGCGACCTCTGAACAAGGTGTTGTCAAAGACTAGCAGTCCTGATGGATGCAGCAGATTGTGCTCCAGGATAAAGTCGTAATATGCGCGATACTTGCGCTTATTGGCGTCCACGAAGATAAAGTCGAATTGATGCTGATCAGGTAGCGAGCTCAGATATTCCAGACCGTCTTGATTCACAGCGGTGATTTGACTGGCACGTAAGCTCTGGTCGAAGAAAGTTTGGGCGAATTGCATAGTCGCAGCGTCGATATCGCAAGTAACGAGGGATCCGTCGAAGGCCAAACCGTTGGCAAGACATAGAGCCGAGTAACCGGTGAAGCAGCCGATCTCCAACACGCGCTGGGCCTGAGTCGTTTGCACGAGGAAGGAGAGAAGTTTGCCCTGCATCTCATCAACGAGCTGCTCCGCCTTCGGCCACGTCCGTGTCGTCTCTTCACGTAACTTTCGGAGCAATTCATCATCGGTGAGAGCACTACTTTGATTGTAGACGTAGCGGTTCTGAAGCTCAGTGTCGTCGATGCTCTTGTTGAGAGACCGTGAAATAGTGAAGTGGCGAGCGTGCAGATTTCTAGCTCTTGATCGCTTGCTGACGTGTTTGGACAACGCGTTCGGAATCGGAGGCATCCATCGTGTTGCTTGCTGCTTGCGGTATTCTTTTTGCTGCTTCATTGTCATCGCGTTCATCTTAATAAATTCTTGCTTGCATGCTTCACTGCACGCTCCCAAAAAATTGCTTGCACATTTCGAGCATTGCAAGATCAAACCTCCACACATGACGTTACTGCAGTTGATGTGGTGGTTGCACGATTCACCACATTGAGAGCACCGGCCTAGTACGTCGTCTGTCACCTCCTCTGACTCTGTCAACTCACCTACGCATCGCTGATCAAACACGAAATTCTTGCCCTTGAACAGAGAAAACTCCTCTTCTACTGCATCATCCGAGTGACCACGCGCATCCATTGCAGCCTGACGTTGCTCCTTCAGAAACCGCATGTAGTTCACGATACCGCCGTGAAGTTTCTGCACGTTCGAGATGCCCTTGTACTGGGTCAGATACGCGCCAACCTTCTCACAGCGAATACCTCCGGTGCAGTACATCATGACCTCCTTGGGTTTCTGTCCATCGTGTTCCTTCTCGTGCTGGTCGAGGATCTCATCCAGAGCATCGAATGTATCTCTGAAAGTGTCGACCATGATCCTCGTGGCTCCGTCAAAGCGTCCAATCTCGTGCTCGTAGAAGTTGCGTACATCCAGCACTAGTGTGCTCGAGTCGTCCATTTCGTTCCTCTCCAGGAGCTTCTGATGCCACAGCTCAGGCGGCAATGAATAGCCCGACTCCTGTAGATCCAGCGGTCCTCCCTCGAATCCATCGTGAACTAATTGCTTCCGGATCTTCACCGTTAACTGGGAGAATGGTAGGTGATCCACCTCAGACTCCTCCAACGCTGGCAACAAATGTCCGTAAAATATGTTCTTGCTTGTGAAGATATGAGGAAACGATATAGCCAGCGCCGATGCGTTGTTCTGAGGCAGCACTAATTGGCCATTGATCCCTTCTGGGGACAAGTAGATTCTGCCAGTCACGCCCAGCGCTTTCCAGCCTCCCAGCAGTCGACGACGCAGTTTTGGCAGCTCACTCTCTTCTAACGTCGCGTAGTTGTACAAACTCACATACTGGCGCGGCTCAGAAACTCCATTGCCACTTGGTCGGGTTGATATACACCGCTGAATGGGCCTACGTAGAGACTGGGTGCGACGGAGCAGCATAGCCGCACGTTCGTTCACCTTGGCTAATGGAGCTTTTCGTTTTGATATCAAAAATGCCGAAATGATTGTATCATTCAATACAAATTCCTAGTGAAAAGCCGTTATCATTTAGAGAGTTGATTGGTGGTCGGAAAGATGCGTGGTCTATGGGACGCTGTGCGACTCGTGCCGCGTCTCCGCCGCTCGTCCCTGCTCGAGCTACCGTGCCAGCGTCTTCCCGTCTCTCTCTTGCAGCATGACACGCTATATCAGCGTCGGTCGTTCACTACAGGTGAAGACGCTGGGATATCTCGCCGTCAGTACATCAGTCTGTACAACTACACACCACTAGACAAGAAGAAATTGCCCAAGCTTCGGAGGGATATGCGTGAACAATGGGGGGATCTTGGTGTTGTTGGGCGTATTTACATTGCAGAGGAAGGCATCAACGGCCAGTTGGTGGTGCCTGAACCAGCGGTAAACGCCTTTGGGCATTCGTTCCCTAGACTTCTTAGGGATGCCAAACTCTTCTACGGCCAGTTAATAGAGGACAAGCCAAGAAATACGGAGGAAATAAAGCCTGCCGAGCCATTCCACAAGCTCGACATCCGTATTCGAGACCAGATTCTGCACGATGGATTCGAGGGAGGACCGCTGGATCTACAGGAGTCGGGCTATTCATTGCCGCCTGAGCTGTGGCATCAGAAGCTCCAGGAGAGGAACGAAATGGACGACTCGAGCACACTAGTGCTGGATGTACGCAACTTCTACGAGCACGAGATTGGACGCTTTGACGGAGCCACGAGGATCATGGTCGACACTTTCAGAGATACATTCGATGCTCTGGATGAGATCCTCGACCAGCACGAGAAGGAACACGATGGACAGAAACCCAAGGAGGTCATGATGTACTGCACCGGAGGTATTCGCTGTGAGAAGGTTGGCGCGTATCTGACCCAGTACAAGGGCATCTCGAACGTGCAGAAACTTCACGGCGGTATCGTGAACTACATGCGGTTTCTGAAGGAGCAACGTCAGGCTGCAATGGATGCGCGTGGTCACTCGGATGATGCAGTAGAAGAGGAGTTTTCTCTGTTCAAGGGCAAGAATTTCGTGTTTGATCAGCGATGCGTAGGTGAGTTGACAGAGTCAGAGGAGGTGACAGACGACGTACTAGGCCGGTGCTTCCAATGCGGTGAACCTTGCAACCACCACACCAACTGCAGCAACTTGATGTGTCACGGATTGATCTTGCAGTGCTCAAACTGTGCAACTACCATGTTGGGAGCATGCAGTGAAGCTTGCAAACACGAATATGTCAAGATGGAATCCATGACTCCGGATGAACAGCGTAATTACAGGAAGGCCAACGCTCTCAAGTGGAAACCCAAGAACCCCAACTCCTTAAAGTACATCAAATTCCGACCAGCTTCTCCCGAGTTACTGCAGGAAGCCTAGAGATTCATGATACCAAAGTGATGAATATTGAGTTTTGATGAAGCTCCCTTCAACGACTAACCTACGGGCTTTAAACAAGTTCGCTCAGTATGCTCGACTTCGACCTCGCCAGCGCTTGTAGGGTGGCTCGTTAGTACCATTCTGTCGGATATTCTTCGCCGCCTCTGCTGCACGCTTTTTGTTTGCTTCCTCGTCGCGACGCATCTCGTACTGTTGCCTAATCTCAGCCGTCTTCACGGGGTCGTGGTGCAGAATATCATACCCGAAGCTCGCGGGTGGCAATCTCTTGACCAAGTTGCTGTCTGGCTGGATAATCGTGCCCAAAATGCTACCGGGAAGTGCGTTGAACTTGCCGTGGCGATAGATTTCGTTCTGTAATACCTGTCGGGCGTAGTCAAACGATCGCTTTACCGTTCGCATCTCGTACGAGTTCTTGCCGATGTCAAGACTCGGCTCGTTCGGGTTCTCCATCGCGATCAAATACGGACGTCCATCATCGTACCAGCGGTGGTCTTCCTTGAGAAAATATGACCCACCATTTCGCACGGAGATGCCAAGTTCCGTGTAGTTAAAGTCGCGTCCATACAGCGTGAAAAAGCCCACTAATAACTGTCCCAAGTTGTTAAACTTGGGGTCGTCGTGTTCAGCACCCAGTGCACGTCCATTGTGCTGTAAAAAGCTAACCACCATCATCTGTAGAAGAAAAGAACCCACGCCACCCGAGTACGTCTCGTTCAGTCCTCGTTGCGCCATAAAGTACTTGAGCACGAGCGTCAGAGGCCGGAACGACGGGTATACTCTCATGTAGTGCTTTACCAGGTCTCCGGTGGCTAAGCCGCCCGCCACATTGAACGATACGTCCACGTGAATGTTGCTCTCCTTGTGTACCATCTTGACGATGGGGATTCTGGCTTTATCGATCACTTCCAGGTAGCTCACGAGGTCTTTCTCTTCAAGACACTGTGCCAGCTTATACAGGGGCTCTTTGCCTTCTGGAACTCCAAAGAGTACCATGTCAATGTCGCTCTGGGGCAAGAACATCTGCGTATAGTGCGAGCCGAAGGTCTCGACGGTGGCTTCGGGCCATAATCCCTTGACTATTTCCAGCATCTCCTGTACTAGCTGCGCTCTGCTATTTAACTCGTCCTCTGTGGGGCTTATGAAGGTCACAAAGTCCATGATCTCGTCGTGGAGACACTCGTACACGTTGCTGCCGACGTATCCCTTGCGCTGCCTCATCCAGGGCCGCGACTCGAGCTGCAGCACGCGGTTTTCCTCCTTCTGAGACTCTTCTTTCTTCTTTGAGCCCTTTGGATGGTCTTTATCCGCTGCGAACTCAATGAAGCCGTCATCTACTTCGTCATGGTCTGGAGCGGCGGCGGTCTCTCGTGCCAGGCGCTTCTTCTCCTCCTTTGCGAGCTTGGCAGCATGTTTGGCCTTGCCTTTGGCCTTGATCTTGGCCTTAGCCTTCTTGCGCTCTGCGGCCGCCTTCTTTCCTTCAACGTACCCGTCGCGGCCAGCGCTCTTGACCTTGCGAACCTGCGCCTTGGAGCGTGCCATGTTAATGGCTAGAAATGTGTTTGAAAGCAAGTGCAAAATAAATAAAATAAAATAAATTGTAGCCAATTGAATACAAGTGCTTTAATTTGAAAAGCCGTTATAAAAGTGCGCACAGCTTTCCGTCCACCATAGTGAAACCAAACCAAAAGTGAGCAGAATGGAGTGCACACTTTTCGAAGAAAACCCTTTTTTGATACTAGACTAAAATCCACTTTTTGCTTTTTTTTATTTGGCCCACTTTTTATGGGTTAAATCGCATCTTAACGGTCAGTTTTAAATTCACCCATTCGAAAATGGACCAATAAAGAATGCAAAAAATGTGGATTGAAAACAAAAGGGGCAAAAAACTGCCTTTTTGGGCTATGTGGTTAACAATAAGCCTCCCAACGTTTTGTTATTAAACGTTAGTTAAACGATATTAACAGCTACGTTATCGTTGGGGTTGCTGGCCTTGCTCAACGATTGTCAACAGGGCTCGCAATTGGCGGACTTCGGGTTACCCCGCTCGACCCGAATGTCTTCTCAAGGTATTTCGGGTACCCATACCCACCCGACAGGACCCTTCGGGTACCCGGGTCTATCCAGCAGTGATTTTGCCAAAACCAGTGAATCGATCCAAGGCATCCAACACACCATTTTAACAGTTGAGCAATAAATTTTATTCAAATCAAGTTTAGTGTACCCCCCCCCCCCCCCGACTGCTATTCTCCTTTGTTCACAAGATCTCTGCTTGATCTCACCACAAGTACATCGTCAAGTACTGATGGCTTGATCGAATTGCGCGACTTACACATTACGTTCCCGGCACTAGAGAAGTTACTTTCTGATATTGCACTAGACGCTGGGATGCACAGCACAGACCTCGGAACTTTTGCTAGCTTTGGGTACGCTGTTTTCCGGGTAACATTCCACCACTGCGGGATATCGAAGCTAGTTTTCTCTTCCTTTGTAACTGTGTAGCTCGTGTACTTGTCAAATTCAGCCTATTCATCAAGGTTCTCGCTTACCTTAATTTCGTCTCCGCTCTCATCTGACGAACACAAATTAGCTGCTCCAACAATGATTGAAGACGTCCGCGTCTTTCGCTTCTTGTTTAGACGGCGGACAGAACGGGTAGCTGCTGCTCTGGTTACAGACTGCTTTTCATCATCGCTACCAATTGGTCTTTTGCCTTGTTTATATCTGTCACCGAAACACCAATTTTTTTTTAGTCTACGCTTCTGGCGTGGATCAAGTAGAGCCGCCATGTAATGGTGCAAATCCAACTTCCATTTGGGCATCGAATGAAGCTACATCAACTTTTTAATTTTCACCAATTTGCTGCTGTCTGGAGGAATCATCTCGATGTTCTGGGGATTGTAAATTGCAAAAGGCCCTTCCAGCACTTTACGAGTCAATTTATCTACCATGACCCGCTTGTTTTGTGGGTAACGATGGCAGATAATATTGTGGCCTTCGTGTACTATTAGATGCAGCGTAGGTTGTTTCCAGCACTCCAGTTTCAGCGTCGTCTCTCGGAAAGGGCGAAGGAATGTGATGAGCTCCTCCAAAAGTGGTTTATCGATCCAGCTGATGTATACTAACTTGCCACGCGCAGCTAAGATACTTGTAACTTCATCAAAAGAGTTGAGTATGCTCACTAAAAGTCGTAGCTGAGAATTCCAACGAGTCACGTTTTCTTGTTTTAGCGTATTCTCCAGACTATTTTGCAGTTTGCTTTTTTCTTTTTAAATAGGAAACCAGAGCTTTGCATATATCCAGTAGCAGGAAAACTTCTGGGGCGTCGTCGTAGAACTTATAATATGGAGACGAAACCACTCCATGTTTTGTCGACGTTGTCTTGCAAAGTACGGTTGTGATAACCGTGGCAATTTTTGTGGTTTGCACATGGGAGCCATGTGTAGACGGATGGAATGCCCTCTTGCCGCACAAATTGGATCCACAATCGGTCACAACTTTACATAGTGAGGTGTCGTGAATGCCAAAATCCAACAAAGCTTCCCTAAATACTCTCAAAAGATACTTGGCTGTGTGAGATACACCCTCAACTTCTTTAACTTGGAGTGTTCGAGCATGAAGCTTGAACAATTCAGTCATGTAATGACATGTCACCGACATGTACGATCTGTTTTTAATTGGATCGGTCCATAAGTCTGTCGTGAATCCCGCCCAGCAATCACGAAAATGAGTCTGGCAAATGAATTGCATATTGACATGAAGACTTTTTGCGTCCTTTTGGACATTATTTCTCACTGTGTTGGAGGCAGGTAGTAATTGTTGAATATCACACGATCGCTTTAAATGTAAACCGATATCAAAAATCACTGAAGCAAATTCTCTGAAGCCTTCACCTGACACTATGCTAAACGGCCGCATATCCGTGCAGCACATGTACGCAGCAGCCTTGATAACACGCTTTTTATCAGCGGTAGACACCTCGTCTTTGTCCAGAAACTGCACTAAGCTCCCAGTGTTTGCTGGAGCACTTGTACATTTCTTCATGTGCTCGCTTAATGTTTCGGTTCCATTTACTGGGATGAATGCATACACCTTTACACATGTGTTACAGGAAATGAAGCTGTTGTTACAAGCCATGAAAACAACACCTTTCTTTTTTTCATACACGTGGTGAAACTGCGTCCAGCATCTAGCCTTCGAGTTTGCATCGTCACGTAAAGAAAAAAAATCAAGTTCTGTACTTGCTGATTCAAAATGCGACTTATCTCCAATTTCAAGTCATTCAGGTTAAGCTCTCGTAGACTAGCCAGCTTTGCATCATTAGCTTTGTCGACGTCACAATCAGAGACCACACAGGATGGAGGATCTGGAGTATCGGTGCTCTCGGTTCCCTCCATTTCGCCTCAATGTAGCACTGACAGCGGTTGTGAAGGCTGCCCTAACTTTAATTTCAGATCACCGCTCCCAAAAACTATAGCTAACATCGGGTAACCCGCACCTACCCAGTGGGAGTTTCGGGTACCCGCACCCCACCCGAGGTCGGGTATACCCGGACGGGTAGTCAATTTACCCGCATTGGGTACCCGATTGCGAGCCCTGATTGTTGCTCTGACCCACAAAAACTAGTGCTATGTTGCAAGGAATGACTTCAAAACTGCACAATTTATTCAGGTCGGCATGGGCGAGCCATAACAGCTTTGACACGCTGCTGCATATTACCGTCGTCCAGACTTCCCGTCCGACGCTAGCTCTGGTGCAGACTTAACCGAGTTGCTATGGAGGCCGACGTCTCAAGTCCAACTCCACCAACAGCGGAGATTGTATCTCTACTAACTCCTTTCCATTCTCCTCAAGAAACCTCTCTTCACACTCCTGTCCAGCCACCACGTCATCCTCGACCCATTCCAGCTAGATACCGTACATCACCATTAACAATCAGGGCAACGCCGATGCGGCTTTCCATTGGCTTCGTACCTCACGTACTCCTGTACATGCTCATGCCGAATCGCTCCCGGAACGTATTGAAATACCAAGTATATTGTTTGCAATGACAGGAGCTCATACACTCGAGCAGTGGAAATTTCTATTTTTAGTTCCACATGAAGAAAGTGCATCACCAGCACACGGGCAGAAGCGAACCTCCAAAGATGCTGCGTTTGCGTATTGTGCAGCTGCAAGGTGATTACAGCCAAGGATCCACAACAGTGTGAAGAATCACGTGGAGCAGTATCATATGGATGAGCTGCTGAAGGCCAAGCAAGCGATAGCCAAGGAAAAGGCGATTTTAGCGAAACGACGCCTTCAGAATGCTTTTGACGAGGCTCCTGATGTCTCGAAGCGGCTCCGTAGGGAAATTACGCTGGCTCAATAGAGCTATGCTAATGGTCTATTTACTAATTGGGTTGCAGAGAACATCCACCGTTGTCGATTCTTGAAGATCCTGGTCTACGAGAATTCATCCACTTTGTTACCTATGCTCGGTGGTATTATTCTGGACAGTTCAGGCGCTACCCAGCTGCAAGAGGACATGATATTCATCGCTGCAGAACTTAGAGCATCACTCATAGCTCCGATATTCTCCAGTTGCGAGTATTATTGCATTACTACGGATATTTGGACGAGTCGAAGGGCTCAAAGTTTCATGGCGCTCACCCTGCACTACACCTGGACGGAAGACGTCATGTTTTGCAACTGGACGTTGGAGATGGAGTCGTTTCCAGGGATACATACTGGGGCTAGGATCGCGGCATCATTGGATAACATGTTGGAGCAGCGGGAGCTGAGTTCTGCCATGTGCGCAATTCTACTACGTGATGGTGCGTCATATGTCGTTCTCGGCAGCACCATTGTCGGTGTAAATAATATGTCTTGCATTGCTCATTCATTGCACCTAGTCCAGGATGGTGCACTTTTGCGCTTTAAGATGCCCTCAGAATTGGATACCACGGATGTATCACAAAATTTTCATGCTGATCAAACTAGTGAGCAACCAGCAGATGTGCAAAATCAAGATAGTTTTGCTGATACCGACGGCCAAATTTCTCCAGCCAGAGCAAACTGCGTCTATTACAGCACTAGAGGAGTTCTCAGTCAATGCGCATGCAAAACTTCCTGTGGCTGCGCAAACAGCTCTGATACAAGTCCGACGGAGTTCAGAAATTCAGTGCACTGGTTACATACTTTCACAAGTCTGCCAAAGCAACGAGCTGACTTGATGCAATTCAAACAAAAACTGGAAACGAGTAGCTCTTTACGTGGCCACAGACTGTCCAACACGTTGGAACTCATGCCGTGATATGCTATATCGTTTGATTGAGCTGGAAGCTCCACTATACTTTTTTTTTACTTACCTTGAGACAGCTGAAGGGAAGAAAAATTAAAATTGCTCAATCAAGACAAGTGTCCGGGTAAATTGTTTTCATTAACTGTTAACAAGACAAGTATTCGGTGCCAAAAGAGTGGTTTACGATTAAGTACTTACTGGCTTTGCTTGACCCCATAGCAGCAGTGGTAAAGGAATCTGGGGGTTGTAATTACCCTACATTAGCGTTGGTGTTTCTAATGCTGCGGCGGATCAAGAAGTTCCTCAGCAATCAGTCAACATTCGCTAAGCACGCCGCACTTGTCGGACGTCACGCGTACAAATCAAAAGTCATGGCAACCATGGACACAGTATGTAAGGTGACCTTGTTTCTCTTTAAGAAACGGTTTGCGGGGATGAATTTTGAGCTTGCCTGGATTTCATTTCTAGATCCACGATTTCACAAAGTGAGCTTCTCACCCCGGACGAAGTTCAGCTTGCAAGAGAGTGTCTACTTGACGCCACGGCGCTAGATGACCGAAACTATACATCACAATCGGCGACGCCTCAAAACCGTTTCAGTGGCTCTGTGGCACAAAGATCTCCAGCAGATGACACGGATAGTGTATGGGACGTTACGTTATAGGCTCGGACGATGAATAGAATACTGTGCACACAAGCGTCGATCCTACACCTGAAAGACTGCGCACGGCATGCACTACGGAGTTTGCAACGTATCTTGAAGACGCGAAGATGGTCCCATGCAAGCAGTACCCGCTCGTATGGCGGTCGAGCAACGGTCACAAGTATCGAGCACTCAAACCGCTCACAAGGAAATGGCTTGGCTTGTGGCTACGTCGGTACCATCAGAGTGAGCATTTTCTACTGCCGGAACACGGTCACTGCTAAGCGATGTCAGTTGGACAGTGATTCTACTAGTGAAAAAATTAAATTATAAGATTGCCATATGATATCACAACAGAGCGGTTATAACCCTACATGGGCAAAAATGACAAGCGCACCTCGACGAAAAATTGGTGTCTGGGTCGGGGTTCCTTGCCCGGAGCACCCGATAAACTGTGTTTTTCCCAAAGCGCGTTGCCCCTTTAGTTCGATGGCGCGAGTCCTGCCCTCCACTTCTGCCTGCTTTGGCCTCGGCGACGAAATAATCATATACATTGCAAACTAGGGTTTTCTCCTCCGGACTGAGCTGGTGTCTGCGTTGCATTGCACTTCCTGAAATGAAAGAGATGAAGAGTCTTTATTTATGGAAGAAGGAGCTACGAAACCTTAGCTTTCTATTAGCGCCCTTTGCGCTCAATTTAAGGCTATTTTGATGAAGTTATCGCCGTTCATCCAAAGATAACAATTCATTTCAGATTAGCTAGCCCCATCATTTTCTGCCGCTACAATAGTACGATACCTTGTTTTTATGGCAGAGAACAATGTAGCCTCAAAGAAAAACTAAATCAAAAGAATCGTAATCTTAGAATGACTGAGGTTTAAATGCGAATCGCTTGTCAGCAATAAGCAGACCAGGGGGCTTCTTCTTCTTCTTCTGTCCATACACACCACCAGCACCTGGGTGGTCTCTAGAGCTAAACTGTTACTGGCATCAGCCTCCTGCGACTGGAATATCTCTGTCTGCACCGACTCGCCGGCGGCAGCGCCGGCCTCCACGGTCGTCGTGCCGCGGACGCCGTCGCGAGACTGCTCTCCTCGACTTTGGTCTCCACACTGGTCTCCGTTTCCACGGCCGTGCTCTCTCCGCCGTGGTCTCCACCTCGGCCGTGTTCATCAGCTCACAGCAAGAGGATGTCGACGTGCGCGCTGTCGTGTTCGCCGTCTTCGTCAAGATGCTGCTGTCGGCCTCCTGCGACTACAACAACTACAAAGGCACGTACCGAAGTAGACGGGCTTGGAAGACATGGGCGCGAAATGTGAAGTGGTGTGTTCCTACACCACAACAGCCCCGATCATGATACGAGCCAGGTCGGCGAGTGTTCTGACCTTAATTCCTCCGCGTCAAATTTCATACACCGTTTGGAGCCCACACTCACAGGATCAGTCTGAGCTACAACAGAGACTCTGGAAAGACTGATGTTTCGTGAGTTATTTCCATACATTTCTAGCTTTGAAATATTTCGTTCAAATCCTACTAAATTTCAGAAATCTGAACCACATCAACCGCCTTAATATTCCCCCCTCCCGCTCTCAATCCATTTTTTTACCCCCATCCTGGTCCTTAACACGTTTTCAAATACACCATGTTATCTTTTACTTGGACCCACTCAGGGAAATCAGAGAGTTTATGCTCAGCGTCATTGGGCTGATCCTGTCTGCTTGGTGTGGCAGGGTCAGGTGAAGGCGCGTGTTCATATACACATCGTGTTAGACATATATCGCGTGTAGTACGATACAGCATGATGTAATTCAAACATAATGTATAATTGTTCAACAAAATCGACCGCCGTGATATGAAGGAGTTGATCCTGCAACACTCCTAGAAACTCTGCATGATCTGCTGGTGGCTTTCCTTGGTTTTTTTTGTGCCTCACGGTAGACGATATAAGCGTTGACAATTGCCATGTTAACCAGCCCCCCAAGAAGATGGTCTTGTAATATTTACGGAACGGCACCGATAGATGTAGCGAGTAGCGCTGCAGCCGTAATTGATCGCGGATATCCACCCCGCCCTTCCAGCGATGGTAGTCCCTCATCGCCGATGAGCAGGGGATAGCGACCTTCCGTCCTCCAGGAATGTGGCGCCCTACAGTCGTAGCAATATATTAGCTGGAGTTTCATACATTTCGGCATAGCCAAATTCCAATCTTACCGCACGTCTGATTTGAGATGCTGCTTCCTGCTGAAAGTAGGTAGACGGGCAGGCGGTCCCACCATTGCAAGACTTGAAGTTGCGGACAGCATTTGCAACGGCAACGGTAGTGGTCCCGCGCGGCACATCCTGTGGTCGGGATACTTTGGTAATCAAACCCGGTGGAATTGTTTTTGTTGGGTTGGTTCGTCCCCCA